TCTATCTAACCATCGATCCTTTATCTGATTTTGGTGCACAATAAACTTCTGCTCATGCTTTCATTGTGATTTTGGTGAACCACCTTGAATCATTGGTAGCTACTTCAGATGAACCAATTTGTACTTATGCAAGTTCATTTTCAAGATCTTATTAGTACACATCATTGAATCTGACATAGGTAAATTATTTTACTATTCAAGTTCTAGAATTTAAAACTATGGGATCTAGAAGTATTTGAGTATCCAAGAAGAAAGAACAATTCCCTCAAGGGTCCGATCGTCTTCATATATCAGTTCACTACAAGGAATTTCTGATTTATCAATTGTCTGTTGCTAAGCTTTTCCTGTATTTTATCGATGTTAAGTTTAAGAAAGAGTTGAAGAATGATAGTTTATAGTTTTTATTTTCCATCGGTTAATCGACATTAAGATTTACGTAAATCTTTTATTCTCGACAAAACATTTTATGAGAATAAATTTGAGCCTCGTTTCAAAATTTCATCCGTAAAGCAATTATCACTCACAAAATTTGTCTGAGGATTTTCATGCTCTCCGAATAAAATAAGCAAGTCACATTAATTTTATTTTTTTTAAGTGAGTCAATATATATCACCTCAATTTTAAATAATTTACTTAATTCTCACTCTTTTTATCTAAAAATTGCTTAAGTCACAAATATATTTGTTCCCTTTTCAATTTATGATATTTTTTCTCCTACATACACATACACAAGAGTTAAACAATTTACAAGGAATAATTAGTTATTTAGATAATTTCTTTTATTTTTTAAGTAACTTAAAATTACATGTAAAATATCAAATTAATATTATATTGTTAAACAATGCATAAGGAATTCTAATAGAAGATTTTATTGAGAAGAAACCAATAAATTTATGAATATGATTCACGTAATCTCAAACCTGACAATTAAAAATAAATATTTCATTTTAATATCTTAAAGTTAATAATTAGGGATAGATGTGAATTTTGTTGGTTAAATATTATTTTAATATAAATAAGAATTAAATTTAAAAGTATCATGTTAATCCCATATCATAGAACATTATTTATAACCATGAGATAAAAAAACTTGATTAGATGAATTTCACTTTAATATATGGATATCTATTTTCGGTTATTAATGAATTTTCGGTTCTCTTTGTGTTTGTATTATCTATATCTAATGCTTCTTGAAACATGGGTTATTAGATGTAATGTTGATTCCTCATGCATTATTGTCTCTTATATAATTTGGATCCGAACAAATAATTCTATCAAAATTGCGGACAGAATATAATAAGGATCAAGTTAAACATGTGTAAAAGGTTTTTCAAATTTAATTTTAGTCCCTATAAAAAATTAATAGGTTTTCAATTTATATATTTACTAAAAAAATATGATTTTAATTAGTCCCTCATCAACGACTTAGAAACATGCATTTCTTCTAAAACATAAGAACTAAATATGTATTGTTTTTTATATAAAAATTGGAAAAACATTTTATCCAAAAATTTATGTATATTACATCAACAATATTACATTAACCTAATTCTGTGCCATACATTATCAAATTTTAATTAAATTAAGTTAAATTTGAATCCAAACAAATAATTATATCAAAATTGTAGTATGTATAGAGTAAGGACTAGGTTAAACATGTCCTAACCTGTCCTACAAATAGTCCTAATTCGGAGGAATAACTATTTTAGTTTGGTTTATTCGTTACTATATAAAACAAATTAAAGGTACAGCTACTGGATTCCTTTGATTACGTACTAGTAGTTTTCATCGAAACGAAACCAACAGTGCGTGTAATTGGAAGATTTTGCATTATAAACATTAGCTAATGATGGAAACAAAACTCAAGTAATAAATAATACCGTAATTATATCCTTAGGATATGACAAAATTTCTAGGTAGTATATAAAATAGTGGAAGAAGAATTAATATATATTAAAAGAATGAAAGGGTACAATGTACCATGTAAACGTTAATTAGAGATTGATTAGACGAGTCTATACCAGCGATTGACATGCAAATATTTTTAACTTATAGAACCCAAAATTTTAATTACACTGTTCTTGTTTTTTTCTTATCAGAACAAAATATAATGACACTAACAAAATTCGAACAAATGTTGTATGTATCATCCTAATTAACCCTCCATACTGCTCTATTATGCCTAATCAGGTTAACAATATGCCCATCACAAAATCATTGTCATAAGTCATAACTCAATTAAATTTGTAAATTCTGTTTCACTTTTTACCTACTCCAACAAACACTTAATTTCAGATGAATGAACTGTCATTTATTTACATTCATGAATTCCCCAGAAAAAGAAAGAGAAAGAGGATAAAGGAAATTAAGAAGTGGCATAATAATTTGTGCTGATTGTACATTCCAGATCGATGTAACTCAAGTCGAGCTATAAATTAATTTGTCATGATGAATCAATAGACAATAGGGGAGTGTTTATGAATGTACGTAGCTGAATCTATACACAGCCATGGTTGAATTTATATGTGGTTGCAAAGTCATGTATTCCGTGAAAGGGAAAAAAAAATGCTAACCCACAAAAACGGCATTAATGGACAGGATCGAGCAATGATTTTGATGGGATGGCCTTTGGTTTGTATTGGCGATGCCCCTCAGAATAATGAGACCTGCCAGTTCATATCCATAATGGCGTCAGTCACATTCTAGAAGACTAGAACTAACAATGTTGTATTAATTTCAATCATGTTTGTTTTGCCTTTCTTCTATTTTTGTTAGCCGACTTGGTAGCCGTTTCCCATCTTTTATGAATCTTCAAAAGTTTGGTAGCTAGGTCGATCCATCTCGTTTAGTTCACTTTTCACCGTCTCTAATTTCTAAGCAATACGCAACTTACCCGGATTTCCTTATCTCCATGATAGTTAACTTCTTGCCCCCACAAAGAATAAATATAAGCCAGAACAGTCAAAGAGATGCCTACTTAATAAAAAAAAAAAAAAAAAAAAGATAACTGATCTAGGGGTCATTGAGTATTACAATAATGCAATGTCTTGCTTTTTAATTAATTTGTCCTTACAGAAAAATGATAAGATAATTAAATAGCTAATCCAATCGTGTCATTGATTTTAAATGTACGGTCATGTTAAGAATTAAAGAATAATCCAATGGATAAATGAATTATACTATTCAATAAATTCATATAACACTTTTCATGAAAATAATGCCATTTTATATCGGTTGCAAGCATGAAATGTCGCCGTAGAAAATATGAATCGGATAAATGAGATGTCACCATAACCAAACACAATAGGAGGAGAGCTAGTCGTTAAAAATGAGAGTCAAATGTCACAAATGATGGTCGAAGTTGTAGAGGAAAGCTCTTGATAATGTTAGAATGAAAAAGAAATGAAAAAAAAAGATATTAAGGTTAAATAAAAAATATTATTCTACATTGATTAAGTAGTAATCGATATAATAATATTCATTAAAATGCAAAAATATCACCTTATATTGTTTTACATTGATCGATAAAACTATTTAACAATTGATGTAAAATCTTATTTGAAATAATATGTATTTTTTACTCCTGATGTCATTTCAATCATCTTTATATTAAATACATCATAAAAAAATTTATTATTACCGACAATTATTTAATGATAATAAATAATTTTTTTTTATTTTATTATTTAATAAACATATTAATGACTAATATATAAAGCTCACTAAAAACGTATATACATCATACTAAAAATTTACTATTAGCAACAATTATTTATTAAGAAAAATTTTAGTCTCACATCGACTTGAAACAAGATAATTAAAAAATATATAAATAAATGATAACTCTCACTTTACAAGTTTGTTTTGTGGGGTTGAGTTAGACTCATAACTTACTATTCTAAGTTGGTATAAGATGTTCCTAAACTTGAGGGAACCGACTATTAATAAGATAATTAAAAAAATAAGAAAATTAAAATCTCACATCAACTAGAAATAAGAAAATAAAAAAGAATATATAAATAGAAGACAACACTCATTTTACAAGTTTCACATCGACTAAAAATAAGAGAATAAAAAAGAATATATAATTAAAATAAAAAAGAATATATATAAAGATTTAACAGTGACATGCGGTAAAAAATTTATATTAAATGTTACTAAAAATCTATTTTGTTGTAATCACTTAACTCTCTCCGCTTCTTATTTCTTTCTTTTGCAATATAATACTTTGAACAAAATTTACTTATACAAACAATTTCTGTTTGACGATCACAGTGATAGATGTCTAAATAATGTTCTCAAAATGCATTCGGTTTCTCTTCAATGTTAACTATTCACCGTCAAAATCTGCAGCCAAATAAGAATATAAAAGAGCTTTTTTTGTGAGAATTAGGTTGAAGTGGCTGTAGCAGCTGAGATTCTGTTGCTGCTTCCGCTAGCGTGTCCAGCGAAATAATAAAATATTCAACAGAAATACTTTCGATATTTGCCATTTTGTGCGGATTTATATTACTCATATATGTGCCACTGCTAGCTGGAGTCCCATCACTTGGATTTCATTTTCACGTAAACTCATAAAGAAATGTTTCGTGTGATTTTCCCCATCTTTACCTTCCTTCGGCCCAAAATACTCGTAATTGAAAAATAGTGTTCATATGATCATATCCTCCAATAACCAATGAATCATGGACCCCGTCAACAAACCCCAGTTACAAACAGTGACAAAAACCAGAGAGTAAAGCAAGGGAACCATCACAATTTAATGCATGCACACTACCAAACGCCAGAGCAATTGAAAACCACCACATCAAAGAAAAGGATAACCTGCCAACTGCACATCCGAATGATATAATTTTATGATTGGTAATGGTAGGTATCACTAATCAATAGCAGGCGCCAACCCATTATTTTAGCGCACAATCAGAAACCAATTATTATTATACGGTTTCTTTAATGTAAGTGTAAGTTAACATTCCTCAAACACAACCTGACAAACAATCTTACTGCTAAATGCATTTTGGCCATGCTAATGAAACTTTAATTCTCGCAGCTGACAACAAAGCAAACTACTTCTTACATTTCAAGTCCTAATTACAAGCTTCCAATAGTGTAAGCAAAATACAAACTTGAAACTGAAACTGTGTTTCCCTTACATGTTGCACATTCATAAATAAATACATAGAACACCGGTTGGCGATCTCTACGCAAATTCTCAACAGGCCCATGTAATTGTTTGGAAAATAAACAGAAAAAAAACAAAAATATATATGAAAAGTGGCATATAATATGATAACCAATATGACTGACAAATGAGAATTGTGGTAGGGGTACAGCATATTGAGAAGGATCATTACTGAAACCAATAATAATTTGTTTCCCTTTGTTCAATTCTCGTCCTAGAGCTTAACGATCTCAGGAATATGAACGGGGTAACGATCAATGCAATCAGTCCAAGGCCCATCAACCGGTGTCTTAATGCTTCTGTTGCACTTCCAGACAGCACTGTTGCATTTAAAGCCACTCCCAAACGCTATCTGCCACACCCTGTCCCCTCTCTTCATCCTCCCCTTGGACTCAATGTAGTTGAGCTCATACCAAAGAGAAGAAGAGGAAGTGTTCCCAAACCTGTGCAGGGTCATCCTCGAGGCCTCAACATGCTCCGCAGAAAGCTGAAGATTCTTCTGCAACTCGTCAATCACAGCACGGCCTCCAGCATGGATGCAGAAGTGCTCAAAGGCTTGTTTGAAGTCAGGAATATAAGGCTTCCATTTGGGGTTGAAGATTTTCCTACCAATAAGAGTGAGAAGGAACAGCAACTGCTCCGAAGCGGGAAGCACGAGAGGACCCATGGTAGTTATGTTGGACTTGAGAGCCTCACCTGCAATCGCCATGAGATCCTTCTGAAGCGAAATCCCTACTTTGCCTTCTTTGTCTTCTTCCTCAAACACGCAACGGTATGCTTTGTCGTCGCCTCCTTTGTGAGTTCGAACGACGTGGACCAACCTATACTTGGCTCTCCTACGTTCAGACCTACGGTTGGATAACAAAATAGCAGCACCCCCCATTCGGAACAAACAATTGGGAAGAAGCATGGCTCTCTCGTTTCCTTGGTAGTAGTTGGGAGTTATAATCTCGGTGCTGACAACGACGGCGTTTGAGTTAGGGTGGACTTGGAGAAGGTCACGTGCCAAGTCAATGGATATCAAGCCAGCGCTGCAACCCATGCCAGAGAGGTTAAAGCTCTTGATGTTGCTCCGCAGCTTGTACTTGTTAATCACCATAGCAGAGAGAGAAGGAGTGGGAGAGAAGAGGCTGCAATTGACAATAAGAATGTCTATGTCCTTAGGCTTGAGGCCGGTCTTGTCGAACAAGGAATCCATGGCGGAGAAGATGACGAGCTCAGCCTCTCCCCTGGCGGCTTCCATGGTGGGTTTGGGAGGGATGTAGTGAATGGCGGGGGGGAGACAGGTCTCTTCCCCGAGGCCAGAGCGTTCGAGAATCCTCATCTGAAACTCGACGCTCGTGGGGTTGTTCTTGAGGATGAGCCTGGAG